TAGTACCATTTTATTAACACTAAACCAGCCAGCTAATTCTTGTAAGGCTTTATCAGCCGCAGACCCAATAGAAAGTTCCTGGTTAAGTTTAACTATACCTGAATTATCGTCCGCAAATGCAGTAATGCTGCTGTATACAGTGTCAAGTAGAAGAGGATTAACAAAAATCACGAAAAGCACAGGACCGAGAATAGATCCCTGGGGCACCCCCAATTCCACCTTTCGAAAATCTGAACGCTGAGCCGTGGCCGTGGTGGTAGACCTCCCCGCCAAAAACCCATGCTGTGCTGGAGAAAGCACGCTATTTCTAGTCAGAAAATTAAGAAGCCTATCCAACACAGCATACTCAAATAGTTTAGAGAAGCAGGAGGTAAGTGCTATGGGGCGGTAGTTTTCCGCCAAACTTGGGTCCCCCTTCTTAAATATTGGATTCATTTTTGAAGTTTTTAAACAACACGGGAAAACTCCCGTTTGAAGAGAATGATTTACAAGATATGTTAATGGTCGCAAACATGATTCAGTCATTACTTGCTTAAATATATGGGTTGGGATTTCATCCGGCCCTGATGATTTTTTATTTTTGATGTTATAATTTGAAGAATTTCTTGCTCGCTAAAGTAAGTGAAGGTCATTTCAGTCGGTAAAGTATTCTCATCTGCCAGCAAAGGACCTGCCACGGGCAGATTGCGAACCAGCAATTGAGGAGCCTCCACAAAAAAATTATTAAAATGATTAGCTATCTGCAAAGGTTGTTTAAGGACAATACCTGTAGAGTTTTTTAGCTCTGATGGACCTGAATATGATGGATTTTTACCCTTAGTGACCTCCGTTACTACAGACCACAGCACTTTTGAATCATTATTAGAGTTATGTATTTTATTTTGATAGTATTGTTGTTTTACGCCTGAAACCAGGATTTTATGTTTTAGTTTTTCAGCTCTGTACAGGTCGCCCAGTTCCGGAAGCTCCCTTCTACGCTTGTGTAGTTCCTTAAGGTTTCTGCTGGAGGCCCTTACGGCGTAGTTTACCCAAGCATTATTGTTTTGCTTTTGATATTTAGGTTTTGCAGGAAAGATATCATTGAAATGGCCAAGAACAGTAGAGTGAAAGTATTCAAACTTTTTATCCAAGCTATTGTCATATAGTTAAGACCAATCCGCATTTCTAAGAACCGATTTAAAAGAGTTAATATTGTCCTGATTGTAAGATCTTGCATAAATTTTTTGAGGCTTTGCCTTTTCATTTAAAACCCCCGTGTTGAATAGGACGGCGTCATGGTCAGAAAAAGGAAAATTTTCCACATTGGCCTCCAAGCATAATGGCAAATTTACAAAAATCAAATCTAATGTCGTTTGACTTGTTTTAGAGATACGTGTTGGGACATTAATTATGTTCCTAAGATTAAAATTTAACATTGAATTAAAAAAACACTCCTGGTCCGATTTGTTCAGTGAATGGCAGTTAAAGCATTGTTAAAGTCACCTAAAACTAGAATACGGCAGCTTGGTTTATAATATTTACTTAGTAACGTTTCTAATTTATCACGAAAAACTTCAAAATCTCCGTTTGGAGAGCGATAAAACAAAATTATTAAAACGTTGCTTTTAGGATTGCATTGCCATCGCACTGCACACACTTCAATGGGTTTTCCAAACAAAACCGCTTCACGTCTATGACATTGCATCGTATGTCGTATCTCGCAAAAATTGCAACTCCTCCTCTTTCAAAATTCCTCCGTGAGAACTCAGTTTTCAAATGGTACCCTGGGAAAATCATGTTTTCAGCGCTAATGTGAGTCTTCGCCCAAGTCTCAGTCAAGAGCAGAAAATTCAGTTTATAATGTTCATAGTATGAATTGAGGTAGTCAATTTTCTCTCGTCTAAAGCCTTGAATATTCAAAAGAAGAGAGTCAAAACGAACAGTTTCGCTGTCTAGGTTAAAGGTAGTTTCACTGATCGTGGGTGAAAAAAAACGGTTCACACACGCTCCACTTGGCCAAAGAGTGGGTGTCATGGCGGCAGCAATTTTCTTTTCGCTAACGGTCACCTTAAATGAGGAGTAATATGTCGGATATTTTGAGTTCAACTGTTCAACTTGCAGCTCTGGGAAGATTGGCCTAAGAAAGTTCTTGAGATCGTCCACGGTGGTGTCGGGGTGCAGCTTATAAACATGCAAAAATGCTAGCTTTAGTGGTTGTTTTAAAGATATCTCACAATCCGTGTTAGACCCTAGTAAAAGGAGTTTCATCCTCGTCCTGCAATTTATTCCTGGCATTTTCTATCGCCAATTTAACTGATTCAGCGCTTATACTTGTAGTCGGTTCCTGCGATGTTTTCGACCCTGATTTTGCGGTTGCACCGGCTACAGCCGGCCGCTTTGCGTTTGGATACTGCCGAGATGATTCGTTTTCGCAGTACTGTCTGCTTCGGTTCGGTGGTCCGGGTGGGGCAGAGAGGGGGCCCGCGTACGGTACCGAAGCGCTAGGGCCACTAGGCTTGAGGGGGGCGAGGCCATCGCTCGTAGATGCTGATGCCGATTTAGGGTTATTTGATTGTGTTTGTTTTTGTTTACAATCATTCATAACCTCTTTATTGGACGAAGCTTGTAAAAGATTAATTATGGTATTGAGATTTTCAACTGACCTTTCTTTTTCCTGTACAAGAGTTTTCGCAGCAGCTAATTCAACTCTGGCCACTCGAAGGTCTGCGTGAGTGTTTAGACATAGAACTTTGTCGCACGAAGTATGTTCTTCACTATCATGAAAGACCTCGGAGGTATTCAGGTGGTGATCCACAAAATTGCGAAGAACTTCACTAACATTACAACCATCGGGAACTTTTTTGTGCAAAATTATTTGAATTAACTTTTCTTTGGTAAGCTTATTTAATTCGCTCGAAATTTGTTGGTCGTCTATCGACGCCATCTTGCATCTTATGGTGCAACATATAGTGCACTTGTATGGTGGCCTAAAGTAAACCAAATACAAGCAAACCTGAAGCTAGCCAAAATCCAGAGACTTGCGTGTCTTCGTATTACCGGTGCACAGAGAAGCACACCAACGGCAAGTATGTCTACCTCTGGGAGAATACACTACTTACCTACTCTATTCCAAGTAGAAATATATGCCATCGACTCTTGTCTGAGAGAAAACCTGAGGAGAGGATACACAGGTAAAAACATCCTTATCTGCTCAGACGGTGAAGCGGTCGATCAAAGCACTCAACAGCTTTGAAATAAAATCCAAACTTGCTTGGAATGCTTGGAAAACCTCAAAAACCTAAGTATGGCCAACAAGGTAACCTTTAAATGGGTGCGAGGGCATAAAGGAATTGAAGGAAATTAAAAAGCAGATGCTGTGGCAAGAGAAGGATCGGCAACCAGTTATACTGTCCTGAACTCAATTGGCACCACAAAATCATCGGTGAGAACAAAAATAAACCAATGGGTGTATAGACAACACAAAACCTACTGGAAAACTCTTCCGAAACTCAGACACAGTAAGCTAATGGTACAACAACCATCACCTAAACTTACTGAAAAAATCCTAGAAACTAAACAGGAATCAAATCAGGCTAATAACTGGACCTATAACTGGACACTGTAGCCTGAGAAAACACCTTCACACAATGGGCATCCTCCAAGAAGAACCCATATGCAGACTTTGTGACGAGGAGGATGAAACCGCCACCTACATAATCTTTGAATGTGAGGCTTTACGCTGTTGGAGATACAGACAGATAGGGCCAGAAGACCCTATCTCTAATTTCTAAACTCACCAAAAGTGACACGGTGAAGAGGCTCCTAAAACTAATCAAGGTCACGACACTTTTCACTGACTAAACAGATGAACAGGACAATACAATAAGCCGACGGCTTCAGTGTTGGTGCCACCTAACCCGGCCTATTCATTCTGCATCTCAACCAACCAACCAAGTGATTGTATAAGTTATGTGTTTACCCCGCTGTTTACTCACCTAAATCAACTCGCTGTCGGCGGCAAAACCTTTTAGGGGTGGCATGTATGTAAAATGGAAAGTTTGTAGGAACCTATTAACCAAAATCGCAAAAAAAAAATTATCGGAAAATTCTGTGTACCAGTGCTAAATTTCGGGGGGGGGGGGTTAATCCCCAAAACCCCCCCCCTTGGGTGCGCCACTGGCATAGAGTATAATTTTTATCAGGAACTCGGCATTTTTGTTTATTTTGAGGTGACCGGGAAAGTAGCCAACGCTCCATAGCATACATAGCTTTTATAGCGAAGGCAAATATGCAAACAAAAATTACGGCTCGTCAAGATCCGCTCATTGGCTGGAAATAACCGTTCCCTATAATAACGCTCCAATCTAATCTTATTGCAACCAAACTGGCAGTATATTCCCATCAAAATATTTTGAGCGCCGGTTTTAACGTAATTAATAGGTGCCTTACAACTGCTCCACAGCACGCGTTTTTATCAAAACCGTTTCAGTTAATTAAACATTTATCGCATTACGTGCTTAAAGATTTATTTACACGTGGTGAATGTTATCTGGCTCAATCTTTTAATTAGATATAATTATTATTCTCACATAGGGGAAAGAAATTTTGTGGCATATCAGGCATAATAATTTAAAGTCGACGACATAGCTTTTTCGAGTGGGTTCAAGGCTCAAGGCTCAAATCCTAGTTAGTCCAAACAACCTTCTTGTCGTCTTCTAGTTTTGAAAATTTGCAAAGGCAAAAAATTACGCACCTCACTATTTTCAAAATTTAATATTGTACAGGAGTTATCGATATTTTCATTTAAATCAGTCACTTTTGTATTATTACAGTAATAATATTTCAATACAAAAATGGAGTGGAATGGTGTTGAATTATGATATTGTGCCCCTCAGTTTCAAGTTTTCGATAATTAAAATAACTAATTAACTTCAAAAGACGTTTCGTTCGATTGAATGGAAGTCGTAGATAGTTTTAAAAGCAGACTAAACTTTATCTTTTTAATGCATAAAAGTTCTTACCTATCGAACTCAAAGAAGCCTCTTCGACGACGGACATGCTGCTATTATGAATAGTAAGATGATGGATATCCAGACCGAGAAACACGAAACCGGGCAACTTGCGCAGATTGTTATGGCGAAGCTTTAAATAAAAGATGACCAGCGGCTTGCCTTTCAAAACGCTCATCGCATCGCTGATGTGCTGCTGATCGGTGAATTCGCACAAAATGTCGAGTCCATTCTTTTTTACCTGGCAGGTGCACGGCGCAATTTCTGATCTCGAGGGACATGTTTGAGGCACCTGAAATAATAATTATCATTAGAAATAAGCAGTCCTGTAAAAATGTCTGTCATATTAGCTAGCAACTCATAGTTTCCATTTTTACTACATACCCTTTCCTGACATGTTATTTCTTTTCCATTTATCGTGCAAATGTACCCCATGCTACGTTTTAAATTGAAATGTTATTCAACAGAAATATCAAAATGTAATGATTGGAAAACCACTATCTCATTTTCGTTTGTATATTTCAAAAAGCAAAATGTAGTGACTGGAAAACCACTATCTCATTTTGGTTTGCATATCTCAAAAAGGTTAAAACGGAGTATTCCCAAATTAAGTTTAAGTGGTTGATTTTGTTTGAGAGATACGATGGTATATTGGAAAAATCAACTCTCATATGTCAATCCTCTATCCATAAATTCTCGAAAATAGTGACTGGAAAGAGGGATCTAGGATCCCAGCTTGGTGTAAATAATATACTAATATATTAGCCTTTAGAATGTTCTCCGGAAATACTGGGGAAAAGTAAAGTGATGGGTAAATCTTTTCAAAAAGAGGACTATACTTTTGTTGCCTACGTAGCTAAAGAAAACTGTGGAAACTTATATGTTTTATCTCAATGTATCAGTCCACGAAAAAGTTCCCTACCATCGACAAAGATGGGTCCGGCAAAATTTCAACATGGGGTTTGGTGTGACAAATTCCCTGACGTCGGTGATTGGCCTTGATTGCCGAAATATGCCGACAAGAAATAAATAAATCAAAAGAAAAAATCTCAATATACGAGTTTCAATACCAGCACATACCTATGTCAATGACAGGGATTGTCATACTTGAAAAAAAAAAAACCATTGTAGAGAAAAAACTGATTTACCCAAAATAGCAAAAAACTACAAAATCTGTCAGTCGGGTGTCCCAGTTTTAATGCTCACGATTGTACTAATCAATAGATGAAACTGAAGCCAGCAACTGATTGTCCACAAAATCACGTGAAGAAACTAACCAAGGCCCACGAAGAATTGGAAATTAAAAAAAAAAAGTTAGGTATAAATATATCATATATACATTGTGGCCCGAACTAAAGGAGTAAGTACATTTTCTAATTCAAAATTATTATTTGTGTTTTGGGGTGATTTATTTTCTTTTTTACAAGAGTAATAATCCAACACATCTTCAATAAGACGGCAAGATATACAACGGAATAGATTTACATGATAGACCCTTTTGGTAAGTGAACTATCCAGAATACTTCAGTAAAAACATAATTACTTGTATTCGCGAAATATTATATTTTAATTTTAATAATTGAAACGGGGAAATAAAAAATGGGTAGATACATTTTAATGAATAACACAACTAAGAAAATAACTTAGAGCAAAATATTATGAATGTGGCGAATGCTGATAAATTGATAGTCCCATTTATTGTATCGGTTCTTCAAAAAAAAAAAACCCAATCAAAGATTGCTATGGTTTTTTAAACGTATGTCTTAGCAATATTTTTCTCTAATTTTGTCAATGAACTTTAATGTCAAAATAAGTCATGTCAAAAATCCTGACCAATAATGCGGCGTACGTTTTCGTAGTCAAAGCAATCTTTGATTGTTTTTTTTTTGAAGACCCGATAGGTACCCTGCTCAAAATTGTTCCAAACAAATGAGCTGCTCGATGGTTTCAAATTGTGGTCCATCATACGGGGAAATTATTTTCCCATCCTCAGCTCCTAACTGAACCTTCTATTTCCTTTCTATTATCCCGTATTCATCTTTCAACCCATTCGGCCAGCGTGAAAGATTATGGCCAAAACCCCCTAAGACCCGGAAAATTGTAAAACAACCGGTTATGACCTCAGGTGGGTACACCCAAATCCACCCCTTCGATAAGGGCTGCGTCATGGAATCTGGTCGAGGCAAAAATTCACAAAATAAATCACAACACAACAGGACACACAAGAAAAAGTTGGCCCTCAAAGTCGCTATCTTCAATGCTAAATCCCTACTGTCAGATGAAAGATTAATCGAAATGGAACTAGAGCTAAAATGGGACGTGATCGGAATAAGTGAAACTAGAAGAAACGGAGAAGGCTTAGAGACTCTAAATATCATGTCACATGTTCTACTATTATACGGTGATACTAGCTCCGTCGGTGGAGTAGGTTTTCTAAAAACTCTCTAGACATACTTGAAGAATATTAACACGTTGACTGCCAATGGGTAACTGGTTATGCTACCATGTGGGCCAAAAAATCAAACCCTATAATTTGTCCTGAAACTCGTTATTATTCCCCCAAAAAAACATATTTTATGTTTTTAACCTTTGTAGTGTCATTTTTTGACGTTTTTTGCTGTCATTCATAATTGAATGACGTGGTTCCACCATAAAAAATTACCGTTTTTTTTTGTGGAGGGGCCACGTCATTCATATATGAATGACAGGAAAGCATTCAAAACTTACATACCAAGACGTTCCTATTTTGGTAATAGGAAGAATTTATCTTGTATGCCGGTAAAAATATATAATTAAACCTATATAAATGTTCGTTTTTATTTTATTTAGGAAAAAAAAAATATTTTTTTTGCCATACCTAACCCTGGTCCCTTTTCAGATTTGGCCAGACCATGTATACCTATAGATTCTTTGCCACAGTATAAAACTGCAATGCTAATCTCCGCTAGCGTCATTCATATGCGAACGACGCGGCCCAGTAGGACAAAATCACCATCATTCATGTGTGCGCCATAAAGTTGGGTAGGTACATATGGGAAAATTCCTAATTATTCCTTTTTTCTAGAAACTTTTTTTGGGGATCGTCAGGGCATATTCGATAACCAAAAAATAGATTATGACACATTTCATGTTATTTTTCTGATGACCAGAAAATGTGCAAAAAGGGACATGGGTACAGTTATAGCGACACGACCGGACGGTATTTTCTAATTTATGACCTTCAGGAGTATATTTCGCAAAACAAACGATTCGTTTCATATCACTTAGGTAGTTTAGTTGAATAAAGCTATTTTTGAAATAAAATTAATATTTTCGATTTTTCATTCAATGGTATGGGTAAAATAAGTAGTTTTATTTTTTTTCTCTGATTTGCTTCAAAATCGGCATGTGGAGTTCTTTTTGGATTCTGAACAACTTTTTCTTATAAAATTTTTTGATATCTTGCCAAATTTACCCATTTTTCAACATCAATATCAACTTTTTTCAAAATTCCCGCTAAACCGATAATCACATGACATGTGTCATAATCGATTTTTTGGTTATCAAACATGCCCTAACGATCCCAAAAAAAAGTTTTTTGAAAAAAAGGATGATTAAGAATTTTCCCATATGTACCCAACTTTATGGTGCACACTGTATATGAATGACATGGCAGTCAACCTGTTTAAAGCAATATTTACAAGAGTAATATTCCTGAATATGCAAATAAAAACTAGAAATACAATAAAAATCATTCAGGCATAGGCATATGCATACCAATATCGACACATAGTGAAAAAGAAATAGTAGCTATATTCATATATTCTGTGTGAAGACTTACTAAACGCCATCGGAGAAAACCCTGCACACTTCACAATAATATGCGGCTACTTCAATGCTAAAACCGGATTGAAAACAGAAAACAGAAAGTTTCGGAAATGAAAGAGAAACATTATTACTAGCATTTCTTCTTGAAAACAACCTATACATATACCTATACATACAACCTATAGAGATGTGACGGTTCTAAACAGATTTACTACGTCGAGCGACCAGATTGCTGAGGTTACCAGAGAAATATATACCGATCCAGAAAGACACAAAGTGATCAAAAAGAAGACTAAGCCATACACACATCCACAGACGAAGAAGTGTTTCTGTTTCGACAATACATTGACACCACACTACAGAAAACGCCAGCACCAAGGGACATAAACGGCCACAAAACAGCTTCTGTCCAAGAACTGAAAAAGAATAGAAAATTAGCCAAGAAACTAAAATAAAAATGGAAGAATAAATACAACAAATAAGTGAGCCAAACACGGAACCACACGAGATAAGAACATACAATAGGGTAATATCAAAATCTATTAGAAAAGACGTAAGAAAATCCAAAAATTAAAAAATAGTGCGAGCCATCGAAGAAAATAAAAGTATAAAATCATGAGAAGAAAAACCATAAATGGCAAGTGAGAAATATTCCAGCCTAAAGACAAAAACAGTAGTATAGTAACAGATAGGGATTACGCACTGTAGACGAGTTCTATACAATATTATATAGATTTCAGACAAGACTCCCAAGACATACCCGACACTTCTCGGGAAGAATTACATCACGCGTTCCATTATAAAAAATAACAGGGCTCCTGGAGAAGACGGAGTAGTAACAGAGGCTATAAAACTCGGGGGGCTAATTTTGATGAACTCTCCAATTTGTGCCTGTACCTCTTTTTCTGATCTTTGTCGATTTTTATAAAGCATTCAGATAAAGAATATATATACAAAAACGTCACAACAACGGTCAACTTACACCCCCCTACATAAAAAATTAAATTGGAAAGAGGCGTAGTACAAGCTGACACACTCTGTCGCCGAAACTATTCATCATCGTCCTAGAGCCTGCTTTTAAAAACTTAGAGTAGGAGAACAGGGGTATTAACATTGATGGGGAAAGACTTAGCCCCCTCAGATTCGAGGACGATATTGTACTTATTTCAGACAACTTACGAGAGGCTTATATTATGATCCAAGAGCTAAGAGAAGCTACACAAAAGGTAGGCCTGAAGATCAATTTTGAAAAAACAAAAATGTTGAATAATTTAGTACCCGACCAGCTTACAAAGGTCGATAACAACGAGATACATATGGTGCTATATATATCTGGGTGTTCAGGCTGTGTGCCTGAAGATAACACTTGCTTAACTACGGCTTGAGTTAAGCAGCGGGACGGTAAGGACTTTATGGGGTATTTACTGCCGGAGAGCAGCCTCATTCTCTGCTATGGCCAAGGGGGCTTGGGCACAGTCAAAGTAA